CCCCTTCATTGGAGGAGGAGGCGCAGCTGGAAAGAGACGCACACACACACACACACACACACACACACGACAAAGGCTCTCCCCTTCATTGGAGGAGGAGGCGCAGCTGGAAAGTGAGATGCACACACACACATACACACACACACGACAAAGGCTCTCCCCTGCATTGGAGGAGGAGGCGCAGCTGGAAAGAGACACACACACACACACACACACACGCAGCTGGAAAATGGGACACACACACACGACAAAGGCTCTCCCCTGCACTGGAGGAGGAGGCGCAGCTGGAAAGTGAGACCAGGCCTTTAGGCAATAGCACTCGAAAGGTGGCGGGGCGAAGGTAATTTCATCAATTGTGGAGTTGGTTGGTTTTTATTAACTGCCACCAAGTCAGAGCCTGGATGGCAGCTTTTAAAACCCCTGTCTTCTGCAGCCAAAGGCCAGGCTGTACGGAAGTTCAGGGCCAATCCAAAGGCATAGGACGACTATGAAGAAGCAGATCTAGAAGGTCTCCGACAGGAACCTCAGAGCATCGAAAGAGAAGGCGTGGGACGTAGGATGTGGACATTTGAGACTCGGAAAGTCCTATTCCACTGACCTTCCGGGCCAACCAAACCAGCCTTTTCCCCTTGCTAGGGGAGACTGTTCCCCCTTGTAAGAAGACCTCATCTGAAGCAGATCATCTACATTATTTTGCTTGGCCTTGGATCCATATCTACAGCCAGGACTCAGCAGAACCTGCATGGGGAAGTATAGTCCCGGCTATGGGAGGCCAAAGCTTAGTTAGTCAAAGGGCTGCAGACATTCCTACATTCTACCAGGACCCAGGGACACAGGGACAGAAGTAGGTCTTCAGAGGGTTGGCCTGGGCGGTGTGGAATATAAGACTGGACAGGGATATCAACACACACACACACACACACACACCAGTGAGACCACACTCATAACCTCAGCCTGATAGGATATTGCCACAGGCTTTGTAGCTAATAAGTGACAGCTCAAAAGAAGAACTGAACGGGGAGATTGGGATTAAACTGCTAAGAGTTCATCTAGAACCTGCCTCTTGGATTCAATTGGACGTAAAGCTCCCATGAGAAATGCCAACTTTGCCCCCCCACCCCCTGCACTCAGCCCCGGCGGTTCTCCTCATAGAAAACTGATGAGAAATGGCATACTGGTATTGGCGATATCTCAAGGACTGAGACAGACCAGGAATGTCGAAATATAAATGTTTGCAGCCTTCCAGCATCTGAAAGCACATTAAAACCACCAAGGATGAGAAACGGGTGCTTATTGAGTTGTCTTGCTTCTCAGGGTATACTCAGACATATTTTGCAAGGTCACCTACTTCCTTTGTCCAAATTAGACTTGGGATTTTGCTTTTGAGCCCTCAGCCTAGGGCCAGAGAAACCTGGAAGAGAGTCCTTGTAACACTTTCAGAATGCGTTTATGAAGAGCAATATTCTTTTTTAAATGATGTGGTTGTCGGGTAACGGTCCAGGCCTAAATGTAGCGAAAACATTTCAAAACCATTACCAGTGGTCAGGAACCGACCTGACAGAACTGTTGATGACAGGATTGGATGTCCCCAACTGGGCACAAGGAGCAGCATTTAAAAAGAGAAACAGGGATTCCCTGTTTGAATGTCAGACAAGTTTTCCCTTTTCTTCATGACAGTCATCTCCCCCCAGCCCTGCATTTATTTGTTCAACAGGTTTCCTGGCATATAATTGACATATCATACAATTCAACAGTTGCGTCACATCAAGAGTTGCACAATCCATAGAAATCATCCTTATAAAAAGTGTCTTACCCTGTGATGTGGTTTGTTTCTCTCGATTTCAGTTGACTTCAGAATATACACTTTCAGTTTTACCATCACTACAGGCTTCTGAAAAGTAAGTTGGGGCAGTCATTGAGAAAACTTGGGATAGGTACTCAGTATGGCTATTAAAATAGAATTTTATTTCAAAGGCAGTTGTAGGGTAAGCATCAGACTGCTAGTCACAAAATCAGAGGTTCAAACCCACCAGCCACTGCAGGACAAAGATAAGGCTATCTATTCCCAAACAGATTCATAGCCTAGGAAACCCTATAGAGGACTGTTACAGGTCAGGACCAATGTGATAGCACCAGGTTTTCGCTTTTCAGGTATTTCAAGTAGCTGGGTGACCTGACAGAACCAAATATTAATTTTTTCTAGAACTATATTAAGTAATTTATTTGTGAAAATTTTCTAGTTGTATCCTACCTCTTCCTCTCTGGATTTCTTATGAGAACTTGCCCCTGCCACACCCAGCCCTCCTCCCACCCCCTTTTCCCCTGATGATGTTTTTAGGAGCTGTGGTCTTGGCTACTATGGGTTTTCTGGAGTTTAGGTAGTACTGTACTCCCATCCACCCCAATCTAGAGTTCCTAAAGGCTGGAAGTCATAGTGTGACCTCATGGGGACACGCTGTAGCTCACCATGCTTCCCTGGTGCCACCTTCTGGAAGATGGGGGTAGCGTAATGTATCTCCTGGGAGTGGTCGGTGCCTGGGCAAAAGACAAGGAATAGGAGTTAATGGGCCAATCATCCAAGCCCGTGACCAGATGACCCCAACTGCCCTGGTAACAGTTCATAGCCACTGGACTTCCAGAAAGCTCTTACCTTCTTGGGCTGTGGAAACATACTGCCTTGGTTCCAACCTGGACGTAGATTCTTTATCTGTAAAACGGGAAAGACATACATTGGGAGTTAATGATGTTTACACTAGACAGTGCTGATGAGTTACTTGCTCTCCATCTTCAATGTGCTCAGGAATAAGGCAGGGTTGACTGGGATTGTTGTTAGCGAGTGCCTGAATCTTATTTACCATAGAGCTATGTGTGATCTCTGTTCGAAGAAATAACTTAGAAGACCCCGGACTATTGTGTGGATAACTCTGAAATGCTATTTTTTAAATCTCCAAGATAAGTTGTTAAGTGAGAAAAGGATGGTGTAGACATGCGTATCCATATGTTAGGATTTCGATGCTCTGGTGCACATGGTCTATCTGTGGAAGGATGTGAAAAGTAAGTTGTCTCCCCTGGGGAGCAGGACTAGGTGGCAGGGGTGGGAGGGAGCCATCACAAGCGATTCCTTTTGTTTCTTTTATTGGTAACCCATGTGTCTGTATTACTTCAAAGGACAACAGCAGGAAGACTGCAAACCGACAGAGCCCCCCCAAAAGCCCAGCTCCTATACCTGCTTGGATTGTACAGATGGTTGCATATTCGGTCACTTCCATGGTCATAACTCCGTTGTCCTTGGGCACGTTCGCTCTCATGGCTTTTCCTACAAAAGTGGGCACAGAATGATTCCATTAGGTCAGCTGCATGTTTTCAACTCTGCCCATGAGCAGGTGCCTTTGAACTTCTGAGAGGAAGATTGCGCTTACTCCAGCAGCCTCAGCTCTCCTGGGGGGGGGGGGGAGTGCCATACCTGAGCCTAGGATTTCTTTTCCAGTCTTGATGGACAACACCTTTGCTTATCAGACCCTGCTCGAGGTGGTCAGACACGTTTTCTTTCCCTTGCTGAAGAGAACATTCTGCCAAATGCTTTGTAGTTGCCACAGTCATTCAGTGGAGTACTATTTTAACCCAGATCAATCCCTATTCAATTCACTTTTGCAAGAACCTAGGCTTTTTTCTTTTTGAATGTAACGTTTATTTGTGAACTGCATGAAGGTTTACAGTAGAGCTCATCAGCTTTAACTCGTCTTCATTTTGATTCATCAGCTCACTTATGGCAATTCCCTCAGTGTCCCATCACGTCCCCTCCCTTCTTCCTTCCGTCCTGTTCGTTCCAGGTCTTTTCTTAGCCCTTCTGAACCTTGTCCTTGGGTAAATGCTGCCCTGTGGTAGTTACATAATCTGGTGTCATTTTGAGAGGATTACAACTGAAGGTGTGGAGTCTAGTCTGTCAATCGGATCATAGCCTCTGTCAATCGGATCATAGCCAATGAGGCCTCTGTGGGCATGGCCTTCTCCTGAGGACTCTGGGAAATCTGGTATTTCCTCCTTGGAGGCGGGACTTCCCTCTCTGCTGACTTCCCTGGGAGACATTGCAGCTGACAAGACACATGGAACTACCCTAGTGCCCTGAGCTGGAAAAGCCACATGGATGCAACCCTGATGCAACCAGACCTCGGAAACCAGAGAAACCTCTGCCAGCGCTGAGATGCTTACAACGCCACTGGACCCAAAGACTTTCTACCCTCTGACCTGTGATCGTCCTGCATTTGGCATCATTGCATGTGTTTTGTGAGTCTGAAGAGGACTTTATAGATTGGTATTGGGCATATGGGCTAATATCGGACTTATGACCTTGGACTGGACTGGGTTGGGATGTTTTCTTAATGTGCAATTACCCTTTATATAAAACTCTCTCTTATATACTTATGCGTGTTTATGAATTTGTTTCTCTAGTCTGCCCTGGCTAACACATGCTACCTTGGTCTCTTGTGGTTGATGATTCTTAACTCTAGCTCACTGGCATTACTGGTATATTGTTTGGCTGAAGATTGAGCCAGAGGGCTCCGTTGCACACCTGAAGAGTGACTAAGGACCATATGCTCCAGGGCTCCACCAGTCTCATCAGTTAGCCTGGTCTCAAACCTAGGCTTTACATCGACAGAGGAGACAAGTTTTAAATACCTTGTGAAGTACATACATTTGTTTGTCATCTGTTTTCAAGTTTTATGTCCATTGAATTCCTGACTTCTCTGAATTAAGACTTTCGCTAGACATGGAGAGAGGCACAGGAACTTAACACATCCCATCGTCCCCTGCCTCAGTTCCAGCACTGTCTCCCATGGCCTCATATTACAGGCAGGTGTGCTGGAGCTAGGTGCAGCAAGCTGGGGGAGTCTATCCCCGGTGTCCTTCAGGTAACTAGCTGGGTGATGGCAGCGCTGAGATGCAGACTATCGTTTGGGCAAATCTAGCTAATCCTCTACGCTTGTGTGTCAGTGGAAAAGGCAACTGTGAACTCTGACCCAGAGGTGGTGATGGGAGAGGAAGATGGAAAAGCACGTTTATCTGCTTGGTTTTTAAAGATAGTTGGATATTCAGCAACTTCCAGGGCATGACTCTAGAGACCTTGTGCATATCACCTCTCTTAGCTTTTCTTACAAAAGTCAGTACATAATTAGCACATTGAATCAATTCTGCCCCATTTTGCTTGTCTCAGGAACAGTAATTGATTGAGGATTCTCTTGGGGACGTGAAGACCTTCATGAGAAGAAACCATTTGCTTGTGGATGCAGCACCTCGTGTAGGGAGGAGAAGGACACCCCTCTTCATTGTCGTCCTCTAAGAGTAAAGTTTAATTAACGTGGAATGGTGTGCCTCCACCCCCACCTCCCCAAGAGAGCTGAAGCCCGACCCTCTCGGGATTGTCACCTTGTTTGGAGAAAGGGTCTTTGAAGACGCTATTAGTTAAGTTACATGAGGTCTTACTGGAGTGCCACAAACCCTAATTCAATATGACTCTATGAGTCAGGATCAACTCGATGGCAGTGAATTTGGAAGTTGTTTGTTTTTTGGTGTTCTTATAAAAAGAGGAAAAGAAACAAAACCAGAGTGAGGCCAAGGGGAGACAGCTATGTGGAGAGGAGGCAGAGACTGGCATACGCATCTACAAACTGTGAATGCCAAGGATTACTGGCACCCACCAGCATTCTAGAGAGGCAAGGAAAGAGCTTCCCCAAGGGCAGCAGTTCTCAACCTGTGGGTCGCCACCCCTTTGGGGGTGGAACGACTCTTTCACAGGGTTCGCCTGAGACCATCGGAAAACACATTATTTCCCATGGTCTTAAGAACCGAGACACCGCTCCTCTATCCGTCTCTAGGTGGGGCCACCCACATGCAGATCTGCCCACCTATGAGTACCGGGTGTGAAATCTGTTACCCATGTTACACCAGGCTTCAAGACAAAATTTCATTGATCTGTCATTAGAGATAAATATTGCACAATATATAATGACATTGTTTTTGTGGTGAATCACTATGCTTTCATTATGTTCAATTGGTAACAATGAAACTATATCCTGCCTATCAGATTCGCATGATGTTTCATAACAGCAAAATTATAGTTGTGAAATAGCAAAGAAAATAATGTTATGGTTGGGGGGTCACCACCACATGAGGAACTGTATGAAAGGGCCACAGCATTAGGAAGGTTGAGAACCACTGCTCAAGGACCTTAAGAGAGATCATAGTCCTGCCAACACCTTGTTTCTGACTTCTAGCCTCCATAACGGAGACAATCGGAGACAATCGGTTTCTTGTTTTAAGCCTCCTTTTGGTACTTTGTTCTAGAAAGCATACAGAGCTGGACCCAGTAAGGATGCTGAGAAATTTCAGGCTCTTGCCTTAGAGGAGTTTGTCATCGGTCTAGGCAATGTAACCAGAGCCACGGTAAAACGTAGACTCTGTTTAAAAATCAAGAAGTCCCTCTTCGACCCTTCGACGACCCAGGTCCTATGCCCAGGAAGCCGTCTAAGTAAGAAAAGGCCCTTATTGGCGACGCCCTACTGTGTGCGACCTGCAGAGGTGTCTGTTTCACCCACTGTCACTCTTGTCATCCTTTACTGCTTGCTTCATTTTTGCCCCGTTCCCATTTCCGATCCCACTCCCCACCTCCACCCACCCCCACCAGCTCACTCTCCAGCTCCACCCCTGCCCCTGCCGCTGCCTGTGTCCGGCACCCTGGGAGACCCGGTAAAGTCCCACCACAGCACTTACTTGCTTTGTGTTTGGGTAGTTGCCAGCACAGCAGGATCAAGGCTATTGCGATTAGCACCAGAACCAACGCAGGAAGCAGCAGCTGCAGGCAAAGAGGACAGCCGCCTTCACCTGGAAGAGACAATTCAGGGGTCCCACTCTCTCTGCCAATGAACTGTTCAATGTTCACGAAAGGGCAAGCACAGCTGTGTCCCAGAGTGACAGACAGGCTCCGCACACTCGGCGCTGTCCAGTCGGTTCCCACTCATAGCCTCCCTTGCAAAACAGAATGCAGCACTGCCCGGTCCTGCGCCGTCTTCTGGGTTGGCCTTATGTCTGAGCCCATGGTTGCAGCCACTGCATCAGTCCCTCCTGTCCAAGGTCTTCCTCTCTGTCACTGCCCTCTACTTTACCAAGCATGCCGGCCTTCTCCAGGGACTGGTCTCCCTGACAACATGTCCAAAGTATGTTCAGGAGATGCCGTCTCCCTGTCGTTGCCTCTAAGGAGAATTCTGGCAGTACCTCTGCCAAGAGCCCTTTGTTTCTTCTTTGGGAAGGATAAATTGGGTAAGAACCTTGGGCAGAGTCTGGAAGCGGGTTGGCATCTGACTGGGCAGGGAATTGGGGGTCTTGGTACCCAGAGTAGAAATGCAAGATCCAGGTGGGCCCATCAGAAAGTGCCTGGTCGAGATGCACCACAGTATTGCCCTCACTAGAAAGCTCAGGTCTGGAGAAGGGGTAACCCTTGATCCAGCTGAAGGTGGTGCTCGAAGCCTGTGGGTATTAGGTGTTGTGATGTTGACCCAGGACAACATGATCTGACACAGGAGACCGCCCTCCTAGGGTTTCCGCAGAGAATCATATAGCCATTTCTTCTCCCCATGGAGTTGTTGAGTGGGTTTAAACCACCAACCTTTGGGTTGCTAGCTCAGTGCTTAGCCTTCACTCTTTGCTGGAAGTCTAGACTCAACAAATGTGAGCAGCTCAGCCCTAAGCAGCCAATCAGGCAGGCACAGGTGTTAAAAAAAAGTCTGATGAAAAAGCCAAGAGACCCGCCAGCCCCAGGAGGGATACAGGTTCTAAAGTAGCTGCTGAGAACAGGGGCGGGGGAAGGATACCGCTGGAGTTGGGGTCGGGTAGGAATCTCACTACAAAATTCACTGCAGGGTCCCTTCTTGCTGTCATTCTAGACTTTTCTATGGCTCATCTAGGGCAGAAAGCTTGACCTTTGGAGCCAAGTGGGAATTGGGTGGGCAGAAGAGCAGCTGCCATATCTGGGAGCAAACCCAAGCCCCATGTAAGAAATCAAACTCAGAGTCGCTCTTACCTGTTATGGATATGAGGACCGGTTGACTGTATTTTGCATGGTTAGGCAACTTGTTTTTAGCTTTACACTTATACGTTCCCTCCATTCTGGTGTTCTTGGTGATGTGAATTTCAGCAGGCTCCCTTATATTCATGGAAACAGTTGATAGGGTGACATTACTCTCAAAGAAAGTATAGTTGATGGGCAACGAGCCCTGGGATGAGATGCAGCGTAGTGTTACTATATATTGTGCACTGTTTGTTTGAATCGCATCAACATTCAGGACTGGGGTGGCCACTGGGTCTAGAAAGACAAAAATTCACATCAAGGAACAAGCAGATTGGGTTCACTCACTCGGTCCACAGACATCAATAGAACCTCCATTCCATTCCAGACCATGGAGCCAAAGGTGACTGAGAACCCTCTGTAGAAGTCAGGAAGCCCAGAGCCTGCTGGGAAAGACAGAGAGGTGTGTGCCTAACCCAGGGGGACAGTCACTGAATGCTGAGATAGCTCCGAGGATGGTGGGTGTCTCTGCTTTGAGGCATCAAGGTCAAAGCATGCCTTTCTTCAGAATTCGTTGTTTGATTATTGTTTATCTTAGTATCATCTTGTCAAAAATGCACTTCCAAATATGAAGTTGAGAAGCACTTCGATTCTCAGTTCTTATAAGGTTAACGTGATAGTATTAAAAAAAATCAATTCAAGTCTCCAAGTACAATTTTCTCTAGCTATATTTTCATCTATAGAATAGAATTACAGTTATCTTTAATTTCTTCCAAAAAATCAAGGCGACACTATGATTTATAGATTCAAGGGAAGGTCTTAACAGAAAGGCTGCAAGATGACACAGCCTTGCTTACTAAAGGTGAGGACTTGAAGCACTTATTGTTTGTGGGAAACAGAAGGATTTCTCCCAAGTTGTCTCCCCCAAAGATATGCCAAACTTAGCTGCTTGCGAATGAATATACACTTGGAGGTCATCAGAAGTAGATCAGGGGTTATTCTCCCTAAGGGTTATCAGCCATCTAGAGCAAGCAGTCACCACTGTTTATCCCACAACAAGTAGGGCCCACTCCCTTCTGATAAGGATAGTAGTTGTCTGTTTCCTTGTAGGAGACCCCAGAGAGATGAAGCCCGCCCAAGGGTGGCCAAGATTAGGCCACCATCATGAAGCTAGGGTCCGCCCATCTTGTCACATTTATACCTCTAGTTCCACCCCTTCCTATCATGTGTACGGCCCTAGCTCATCCCCTTCCTGTTACACCTATGCCCATTGTACATCCCCTTCCTATAATGTGTCTGCCTATTGTACTGCCCCTTCCTGTGACTTGTGGTTACCTGTAATCACGCCCCCTGAAGTAGATATAACCATTGGTTAGCAAAAACGCGTCCTGGAGCCTCCTGCCCAGTCCTGGAGCCTCCTGCTGGGTATCTGCCCCACCTCACCTCAGCCCACCTGTGCGTGGACCTGGCTGGTAAGATCATGGTCATCCAGGAGGTGAGCATGCTACCATAAAATGTGTCTGACCCCATTATTTGACTCTCTCTTCTATCTCTCATGCTCTCTATGACTTTACTATAATCTTTATGTATCTCAACCGTACAATTGTGCTAATTAAACCCACGATTAGTGGTGGGGGGCTGGCACCCCCTCCAACCACAATTGTTGAAGATCAAGGTTTACAACTCGATGTAAAGAAAACCAAAATCTTCACACCTGGACTAATTGGTAACATTGCGATAAATGGTGGGGAAAAGTTGAAATTGTTGAGGCTTTTGTCTTGCTTGGAGCCACAATCAATGCTCATGGAAGCAGCAGTCAAGAGATCAAAGGACACATTGCAATGGGTAGGTCTGCTGCACAAGACTTCTTTAAAGTGTTTGAAAAGCAAAGATGTTACTTTGGGGACTAAGGGGCGCCTGACCAGAGCCATGGCGTTTTCAGTTTCCTCATATGCATGTGAAAGTTGGTCATTGAATACGGAAGGCCAGTGAAAATTTGATGCATGTGAACTATGGTGCCGGTGAAGCATATTAACTTGTACCACGGACTGCCAAAGAAACAAACAGATCTGTCTTAAGAAGAGGTATAGCCAGAACATTCCTTAGAGACAAGATGGTTAGACTTTGCCTTACGTACTTTGGACGTGTTGTCCGGAGAGACCAGTCCCTGGAGAGGACATCATGCTTGGTAAAGTGAAGGGGCAACCAAAGAGAGGAAGGTCCTCAAGGAGGTGGGCGGACACGGTGGCAGCAACATGGCATAAGAGCAATGGTGAGGATGGTGTAAGACCAGGCAGTGTTTCCTTCCTTTGTCCATAGTGTTGCTGAGGCAAAGCCAACCTGACCACACCTAAGAACAGCAACTGACCGGGAAAGTGAGTCCGCTAAGCTCCATCAGGTCAGACTGTATTCGTGGGATTATCCAGTTATACCATCTATTAACATGATAGCGTTCTAGGGGACGGAGGCTGGTTGGTGAGTCCATACTTGGGGCAGGATACATACCTACATTGATATCGCATTTCACCTTCACAACAGTATCACAAGGGGGATAGGATCACACCCATTTTCCAGGTCACTGAGATTGAGAGAGGCTATGGAAGTTGCCCAAGATCACAGAGTTAGTAAGTGGTAGAGGAAGCATTCACCTTAAAACCCATTCTCTCTGTGTATTTGTCTTTCACAACAACATCAGTTTGGCTTACAGGCAGTAAGATAAAAGGGGTTGAAGAGTTAAGAATGATCAGGAAATCTTAGGAAAGGGTTTAGAATCTCCAGGCTCAGTTCCTATCATGAGCAGACATCATGTGACAGCATCCCCAACAGAATGGCATTCGGAACTCAGAGGCAACACTGGGGACAATACCAACTGAATCTTTCTCTTATGGAATGGAAATCTACCTCCTGAAATTTTCAAGAATTTCTGCAAACAAGCAAAACATCAAAAGCTATGTTTGCAGATCCTTCTTGTCAGTGCTACAAACTCTAGCTCAGTCCTTCCTACACAGGGTCCCCCGCTATCTCAAGGCTGCGCTAAACCAAAGCATTAATTTTTGCTTGTTTAATACAAGTGACTGTGCGCTTCTGCAGTTGAAGCAGAATGTGTGTGTGTGTGTGTGTGTGTGTGTGTGTGTGTGTGTGTGTGTGTGTGTTATTGTCAAGGTTGGTTCTAAGTCATCGCAACCCCAGGTGCCACAGAATGACGCTGCCTGATCCTGCGCCAGCCTTCCATGATTATTCTCATCTAAATGATCTGGAAATCTGCAAAAGTGTATTTGATGCAGTCTCCTTCAACTCCCCTAACGATGCCTTTCATTCCGTGTGTTTGCTATTGGCGTTTCTTTCTGTAAATAGAGAAAAAAATGGATCTTCGCATTTCTCACTTTTTGACACAGACAAGAACTCCACAGCCAGCCAGTTGATCCCGACTCACAGCGACCTGAGCACTTATACTCTTCTGTCCTTCCCCTCAGCGGCCCCTGGGATGCTGTGGGTTAGGCATCGGGAAGCCAGTCACAGAGTTGGTGGCTCCATGAAGAGTCAGAGTCTCTGAAACCCTCTCCTCTGCCCCATGGGGTTGCTATGAGTTGGAATTGACTAAGTGGAAGGGGGCTTGTTTTTTCAGGTGGGCACTTTCATATACATATATAAATATAACTAATAACATATCTTCAGGTCTTTCTCTAGTTACACCTGGAGCGCCTTCTCATCTCTGTTCACTGCTGCGTAGTACTCCACTGTGTGGAGCACCTCTGGGTTATTTATAGAGCCCTCTGTGGGTGCACCCTTGGGTTTGTCTAATCTTTTGTTATTGTAAAGAGTGGTTTCACAGCATGATGGTTGTAGCTGGTTTCGCTGAACCAATCAAGTGAAAAATGTTGCGTTAGCATTCTGTTGCCTATATTTTTGTAACAGTTTTAAAAACATACTATAGTAAATAACCTTGCACATACAATATTTTGTACCTGTGAGGTGTGCCTGTAGGAAAGTCTTAGATGAGAGATCGTTAAGACAGAGGGTCAATATCTTTGTAAGCTTGGTTTTGGAGCTTACTCAAGAGCATGACTGCATTTGCCCTTATCACATCTCAAGCTGTCAATGAGGGTTCATCAGTCTAGCTGATTGAAATCCATTCAAGGTTTTAGCTGCTAGATTTCCTTCATTCACATATTTGATGGAGCTCATGTCGTTCCGTGATACCCTTGTGTGTAATAAAAGTCCACACAGAAGACAAGAAGACAGTTTAGCTGTTGTTGATAGGTGCCATTGAGTCCGTTGTGAGAATGAAATACTGCCCGGTCCTAGGTCATCCTCACACTTTTCTTAGGTCTGAGCCCATTGTTGCAGGCATGGTATCAATCCATCTCCTTGAGGGGCTTCCTCTTTTTCATTACCCTGCTACTTTATCAAGCGTGATGTCCTTCTCCAGGGGCTAGTCCCTCCTAACAACATGTCTAAAGTATATAAGATAAAGTCTCACCATCCTTGCCTCTATGGAGCTGTGTTAGTCTGGGTTGACTAGAGAAACAAATCCAGAGACAATCATATATGTGTAAAAGAGAACTTTATATCAAAGAGCAATTGTACATTCAGAAAACATCTCAGCCCAGTCCAGATCAAGTCCATAAATCTGATATTAGCCCATACGTCCGTTACCAGTCTATACAGTCTTCTTCAGACTCACACAGCACATGCAATGACATCGAATGCAGGAAGAAAGATTACAGGCCAGTGGGTGGAAAGTCCTGTGGATCCAGTGGCAGTGGAAGCCTTTCAGCACTGGCGTGCATCTCCATGTGGCTCCTCCAGCCCCAGGGTTCTGGCTCCATCAGCGAAGCACATCTGGCTTGTCAGCAGGAAGATGCAGCAGAGAGAGAGTATCTCTGGCCTCCAGTGAGCTATTTATGTCCTTCAAGCCTCCAAATGAGGTCATCAAGCTGTGACCTGACTGACAGGCTAGACTCCACTCCATAAGTTGACAGGAGATTACGTAACTGCCAAAGGAGCACTCTGGCCATACTTCTTCCAAGACAGATCGGTTTGTCCTTTCAGCAGTCTATAGTGCTTTCAGTATTCTCAGGCACCACAATTCAAATGGATTGATTCTTCTTTGGTCTTCTTTATTCAATGTTCAACTTTCACATGCACATGAGGCCATTGAAAATTCCATGGCTTTGGGTTAGGTGCACCTTAGTCCTCAACAACAACAACTGCTTTCTCTCTGCTTCACCTTACTGCTGGTGAGCCATGCTGCTGGGAGCTTCCAGAGCCCTGTCATGCCACCACCACCATTGGATCCACCACCCACCAGCTGGTGATGTTGTTGCATTCTGCATTGTTGCATATGGCTGTGTGAGTCTGAAGACGGACGGACTCATGGACCAGTATCAGACTTATGGACTAGCATTGGGCTTATGGATTTTATTTGGACTGGGCTGGGATGTGTGCTGGATATATAATTACTTCTTAATATAAAAGTCTCTCTTACACATATATGTGAGGGTCACTGGATTTGTTTCTCTAGTCTACCCGGACTAACACATTATGGTACCTTGGGGCATGGGGTACTAGAGAAACATCGTGAAGATGGAGAGTAGATGCTTGCTTGAACTCTGCCTCATGATAGTTTTTCTTCTTTGGCTAGCCAGAGGTCAGATAGACCCACACTGTTTACTCAATTGTTTTCTGGAAAGGGCATGGGAAGTGAAGGTTTTGATTCATAGAAGTTGTCTTTGGTTATTCCTGTTTGAAATGGCAAAAATGAATGTGATTAATGTAAATTTTGAGCTGGGGGTGGGGGGTGGCCTCTTGAACTTCTCTGAGACCTGGCTGCAAGTGAGAATGACTGACAGAAGGCCCCACACTTGCTTGATGCAGCCCGAGGCCGAAGGCCATATTGCATATGAATGGGGCGTAAGTCAGATAAGAAAGGATTGAATTTGATGGTTTTAAGTTTAGATAAGAAAGTTTAGTTCAGAGGGGTCTCGGGGAGGAGATGAGCCAGTCAGGGTGTGATGTAACAACGATGAGAAATACAACTTTCCTCTAGTTCCTAAATGTTTCCTCCCCGCTCCCACTACCATGACTCAAATTCGACCTTGCAAGTCTGGCTAGACCAGAGGATGTACACTGGTACAGATAGGAACTGGAAATCCAGGGAATCCAGGGCGGATGAGCCCTACAGGACCAGTGGTGTGAGTGGTGAAACAGGGAGGGTAAAGGGAGAATGGGTAGGAAAGAGGGAACCGATTACAAGGAACTATATGTGACCTCCTCCCTGGGGGACAGACAACAGAAAAGTAGGTGAAGGGAGATGTTGGACAGGGCAAGATATGACAAAATACCAATTTATAAACTATCAAGGGCTCATGAGGGAGGGGGGAGCGGGGAGGGAGGGGAAAAATGAGGACCCAATGTCGGGGGTTTAAGTGGAGAGAAAATGTTTTGAGAATGATGTACAAATGCGCTTTACACAATTGATGTGTGTATGGATTGCGATAACAGTTGTATGAGCCCCTAATAAAATTTTTTTTTAAAAAGTAGAAAGCAAGTGTTTTGCCAATAATGATGGCAACAAATGTACAAATGTACTTGAAACAATGTATGTATGTATGGATTATGATGAGTTGTACGAGCCCCCAATAAAATGATTTAAAAAAAAAAAGAAAGTTTAGTTTAGAAAAGATGTTTTAGATAGAAAAGGATTGAATGTTACAGTTTTAAGAATGTGTTTAAGAGCTGACGCAACTGTTTATACTCATTTCTTCTGTTTATTGTTATGGAAATACGTGGGTTAGACATGATTAATAGAAAGTATGAAAATTGAGAGTTTGTAAACCCACTTTATTCAGGCATTAAAATTGGGACTTTAAATGGGATGGGGACACTCCTGCAAAGAAGGCTCTGAAACTATAAACCCCACCCAGTGCTTTGAGTGCTCATACATTTGCATTTGAAAAGACTTGCCTAGCGGTCTGTTGGCAGACTGAAAAAATAAAAGAAGAAGAAAAGGAATTTGGCCTTTTTGAATTTTTAACTAGTGGTTTGTGCCTGATGCTGGAAAAATTTGGAGCCATGAATAACCTCTCCTCTGTAGGACTGAATGTTCAAGGGAGCCTGCAGTCAGCGTGAAGTGCTTGCTAGGTGACCTTCTGGATCCACTTGTTGAATAGAAGTAGAAGAAATGCAGCAATAAAGAGAAGGTTGAGTCTGGCCACTGACACCCAAGGACCTGGTTCATAGGGACTAGAGGCGAAGATGAAAGTGGGTTGGCTGGTCTGAAGTTCATAAACTAGCCCAAGGGGGCTAGGGTTGTTGAGAATTTGTGATGGGGCACATGGTCGAAAGGTGAGGGACCCAATGGGCACCATGGCGAGACTAAACGAAGCGGCTGACATTGAGTTGACCAGAACTGACCAGGAGAAGATAAAATGTTTGAGCCTGTGAATTGGTCTATTTTGCTGCTGACTTTATGGATGGCCTGTCCTTATTTGACTTGCATGGATGTGAACTCCAGGTTCCAATTGGAATGAAGATTCTTCATATCAAAGAATGTGCTTGTCTCCTCAGAACACTGGGTTGATGAGATAAGTGGGCAATATAGAAATTGGAAACCCAACATAGAGTAAAGGCATAAGTGGCTGGCTTACAAACTTTCATAGGTGAGGGAATATATATTGATAGGATTATAGAATTACAGTATAAGTGTTCATATAACTGCAGTTGTTAAATATAGAATATTTTGTTTTGTTCACCTTTAGGATATTATATTTAAATGAGGCTGGCACATTTTTAGTTGTATGTATTACTTTTTATCCTGTTAAGATGTAAATATGATTTTACTTTTGTCTTTGTTTTAAAAATTATGTATAGCTAAAGAGTTGTGTAAAAGTGTCAAGTTGACAAGGAACAGTGACATAATTTCATTCCCAACTTGATCAATGAAGTGTAGGAGTGGAATTTTGCCTCTGAATCAGGTTTCAGCTTGATGACCTCATTTGGAGGCATGGCCCAGATAAATGGCTTGCTGGAGGCTGGCTCCGCCCTCTCTCTGCTTCACCTTCCTGCTGGCGAGAAATGCTGCTCCGTTTGCTAGAGTCCTGTGATGCCACTATAGCCACTGGATCCACAGGACTTTGCACCCACCAGCTGGTGATGTTCCTGCATTTTACATCATTGTATATGGCTGTGTGAGTCTGAAGAGAGATTTATGGACTAGCAAGGGACTTATGGAGTTGATCTAGTTTGAGCTGGGATGTTTGCTTAATATATAATTACTTTTTAATATAAAGTTCCCTCTTACACATAAAAAACAAAACAACTGTGAAACCAAACTTACAGATATATAATCAAGTAATCACTATAACCAATTGCAGAAAGCTTATACACAGGACACTTGATGGTAACATGTGTGAAGATTTTATGCAATATTTTATAGGTGCAAAGGAAGTGCAGAGCTGGGCTTATTAATTAATTGGCTTAAGGTCTCAGCTGTCTAGTTCAGGAATTGTCTAAGACTGGGCTTATTGCTTGTCAGGTGTTCCGGGAGGCGTCTTCTCATTCTTCCCTCACTGATTGGCTCACTACATCTCAGATGCTTTCTACTCTCAGGTGAATGCATTTCTTATGCAACCTTTTGTCTTGGCTTTTTGAAAGGACAGGTTGAGAGATTTCCCCTGAAAAGTTCTGAGGACTTAATGTTGACCTCAAATTTGATGGGTCTGCAGTGAGGGCCTTCGCTTGAAATTGACGAGGCCTTTGCTTATAAATGCAGCCAATTACAAAGAGGTGAAAGAAAGAAAGAAAAGAGAAAATGTAAGAGAGGCAAGAAGAGAGAAGAAACAGAGAGGAGGTAAGGAAACTCCTAGGTGAGCTGTGTCTTGGGTGAGACAGTTATAGAGCTGTACCGTGGGGATGAGGTTGGGCAGAGAGGGCCGAGAGGGAGCCTGCCCTGCATAGCTTATAATCAGGGTCTGCGTGGCAGAGAGAAGGGCCTTCTTGCTTGCACAGCCAAGAGGAGTTGCGAGAGCTGTCTTGCACCGAGGAGGGGAGGAATTTGCTCTCCACTTTCAGACTTTGCTGTCACTATTTTTGAGCCTGATCTCAAGTTGTCCCCTGTGGAGCCTGATCCTACATTGTAACCTTTTACTTCACTGCTAAACCGCTCAATTGTAAGTATAGTCTGAGTTGTTGCTGTCTGAGATAATGAATAAATCCTTAAAAGAGAAATTTTTAAGAAGTGAATTATTAAGAATCATTATCTTGCTGACACACTTTCCAAATTCTTAAGTAAGTGCTCATAAGGGGAACAGCAAAGATCCCACCAACCCTAAGGGCTCCCGATAGCAAGGGCTTTACTTACCTTCAAATGTGAAGTTGAATTCTTGGCTATATTTAAAACAGGAGCTGTTGGGAATTTGAACTCTGCACTTGTAGGGCCCCAAATCACCATCTTTTGAGATGGTTATGTTAGAAATCTTGAGTTGACCTGCTTCAACTTCAGTTTTCAAGTGATCCTGGCCCCGAAACAAAGAGTAGTTGAGTGGTTGGGATATTTTCTTGGTGAAGCAAGTCAGAGATACATGTTGACCCTTTGTTATCACACTGCTTTCCATGTTCAACCGGGGTGGAGAGGCTCCTGGAAAACAAACAACAAAACTAGAGTCCTAGTTCATATCCCATGATCATAACCCATGGTCTTCCAGTCACGTTATCGTGTGTGGATGTGATAGGGGCACTCTCTTTGTAGATTATGTGATTGCATACATAGAAAACCCCAACTTGATAATGAAATTGGTGGAATTAATTGAAAAATTTGACAAGATGGCATAGTGTAAGAGACCATTGACTTTTGTATGCCACCTTATCAAATTTTTATGTTAATGAAGAGAACTCTGAAAAAAACCAAAAACATTTACAATAACCACTTAAAAGATGACGTACTTAGGAGTCCACTGAACGGGAGAAACAAAAGACTTATACAAAGAAAACTACAAAATACTACTATCAAAAGAGACTTACATAAATGGATGAAAGCTTCATGTTCATGGATATGAAGACTTAATATTGTGGAAATGTCAATATTACTGAAAACAATCTATAAGTATAATACAATTCTGATTCAAATCCCAACATTATTCTTAAAATAAATGGAAAAGTGACACCAACTTTATATGGAAAGGAAAGAAACTCAGGTTAAGCAAAATACGACTAAAATCCAAAAACAAAGTAGGAAGCCTCTCAGTCTCTGATTTCAAGACCTATTACACAGCCCTGGGGATCAAGACAACTTGTTTTTGGTACAATAGATATGTATACTAATGGGTCAGAGCAAAGACCCCAGAAATAAAACCAATACCTACAGACACCTGAATTGTTTGTTTGTTTGATTGGTTTGGTTTTTTTGCATTTTTTTATATAGGGCTAAGGCACATTAAATGGGAACAGGACAATCTTTTCAACAAATAGTGCAGGGGAAATTGGATTTCCATCTGCAACGAATGAATCATGATCCAAACCTCACACAATATACAAAAATGAACTCAAGATAGATTAAAGACTTAAATATAAACCCTAGAACTATAAAGATTATCAATGAAAAACAGGGACAAACTTAAAGACCTAGTACAAGGCATAAACATTAGCAAACAGCATGAAACACATCCATGCTACAGAAGACAAAATAGAGGACTGGAATATCCTAAAAATATGACATTTATATATATTGAAGATTTTATCAAAAGAGAACTCACAGACTGAGAAGAATTTTTGGCAATGATATACCAGATAAAGATATAACCTTGAAAATCTATAGAAAACTGTAACCCTTTAATAAAAAACACATGAATAATCCAATTTAAAAATTGACAGAAGACATGAATAGACAACTCACCAATTTCAGAACTGCAGATTGCAGAATTGTACAGTCATGATGGAAAACATTTTGGTGCTTTCTTTTTTTTTAATTTTTTAATCATTTTATTAAGGGCTCTTACAACTCATCACAATCCATACATACATCAATTGTGTAAACCACATTTGTACATTCATTGCCCTCATCATTCTCAAAACATTTCTTGTCCACTTAAGCCCCCAGCATTAGGTCCTCATTTCCCCCCCCCTCCCCACTTCCCCCTCCCTCATGAGGGTGCTTTCTTACATAAATAGAAAAACCACTTAATCAGTATCAAGAGAGAGAAAAGCAACTTCTGACAGCTGGGAACTAGCCTGGCTTGAAACCGACCCATAAATCATACCTGGGTTTCTGCTACTGCTGAACATAAACAAATTCATAGACCACCAACAAATCCATAGGCCCCCAACCAGACAAGGCAAATCTATGGCCCTGACAGAGTAAGGCAATAATAAGACTACGACTATCTTTGAACATAGATAAAAACATACATACTGTTCAAACCACAAAAAGTCAAACATTCCCATATACTTGCTATTATGAGGGACTGCTGTGGGTTTTTGTTTTGTTTTTTTTTAAACCAATCATAGCTTGAGCCTTGCTCTATTCTTACCTTCTAGATCAAAATTAATAAGATACGCAATCACAGAGTTACTCCTATTTCCTGAAAGAATCGGATTCAGAGCAATGCCTGTTTCTTTGATTCTTCCTCCAAATCACCTAATTCAAGTTCAAGTCCCTTAAGTCCTTCCTAAGGCCCTCTTGCTGAGATGTCGCAGGGTGGTGTGTTGCTACTGTGAGCTGGGTCAGTTAGCAGTGGCGAGTTCGAGGCTGATGGCAGAGACCTCCATGGCCGAGACGCATCCTCTGGCACAGAGTGGGTCTGAAGGGCTCATTACTTGCAAGGCCAAGAGGGGTTCAGAAGGCTGCTGTGCACGGGCGTAGGGGGGCATGTGCTCTTTCCTTCTGGGTTGCTTTCCAAACTTCGCCTACATACTTCCTGATCGTGATCCCTCCCCAGTCGCAGTCGATCCTGATCCCAAGTTGCGCCTTGTTATTTCCCTAACAGCTGACTTAACTTGAAGTACAGTGCGTGAGTTGTGAGGGATGTTGCAATGGATTGTTTAGCCCAGCAGAGAAACAGAGTGCTGGGGGAAGGGTGAGGGAGGGTGGCTACTGTCAAAGTTGGTAGAAAGTTTGGAGCGCGGAGGTGTGTCTGACTGCCGCCTCTTGTGAAATCAACCTAGTGCTGATTTCAATTCTTGCTCTTCTTCCCGGAGTTAGACTTCAGGCCACACTAGAACTTCCCACCTCTCCATCCCATTTGGCACACCGTGGCCTGAGATGCTATCCAGACAATGCAAGGACACCTTGTCCTCGCATCTCAGTTCGTGGGTTTGTAGTTAAGGATTGCATGTACATCTAAGCCCTATCCTAATGGAATACAGTTTCCCGGGGAGCTGATTGTAGAATGAGGATAAGAACACAGAGCCCCAGGTTCCTGTTCTTTTTGCAGGGCCTGGCACCGAGTCCAGCAGGAACCCGACCACTAGAAAGTATCATCCACTGGGTATTGCCCTAGAAACCTTATCCATCAAATTCCAGTGCCAGGCTTCAAGTCCCCTTTCCTTTCTTCACATAGCTTTTACAGTTATGGTTCCTATTAATTTTTTATTCCACACTGACTTATGATCATTTAGAACACTGGTTCTCAACCTGTGGGTTGTGACTCCTTTAAGGGTCAAACAACCCTTTCACAGGGGTCACCCGATTCATAACAGTAGGAAAATGACAGTTATGAAGTAGCAACAAAAATAATTTTATGATTGGGGGTCACCACAACATGAGGAACTGTATTAAAGGGTCATGTCTTCAGGAAGGTCGAGAACCACTGATTTGGAAGAACCGTGGCATCCCCTAAAACCTACTGGGAACGTTTCCATTGGTAGTTTTGTGAACTTTTCTCTAGGAAAATATTCAGTGTTATCATTAGATTTTTAAGAGGGTCATTGCCTACAAAGTTAAGCGTCATTGGTTTAGATCATGCTGTCCAATAGTACTTTCCAACATGATAAAAATGTTCTATGTCTGTATTGTCCAATATAGCCACCTCAAGCTACACATGCCAATGAAGCACTCAAAAAGCTTCAGGAACTGAGTTTTTATTTCATATAATATTAACTCAATTGAATTTCAATTTAAGTAGTCGTATGTAAGTAGTGACTATCACATAAGACAATACAGACCCCAATAAATCCACCTTAGCTATAAAGATTAACATAAACTAAAATTCAAAGGATAAAAAAAATATAGCATGCTAATGGTAGTAAAAAGAAAGCAGGAGTAACAATATTAATTTATTAGAAAATATACATCAAAGTAAAAAACATAAGGAGAGACAAAAAGGTTATTGTAGAATCATGAAACTTTCCACTGAACAATGGGTCAAAACTGTAATTAGTGTATATGCACCAAATGAAAGACTTTCAATATATATAAGTCAAATTCTTATAAAAAATGAAGGGACAGGGCGCGGGGAGGGAGGGGAAAAATGAGGACCTAATGTCGGGGGTTTGAATGGAGAGAAAATGTTTTGAGAAACGATGTACAAATGCGCTTTACACAATTGATGTGTGTATGGATTGGGATAACAGTTGTATGAGCCCCTAATAAAATGTTAAAAAAAAAAGTGCTTTACACAATTGATGTATGTATGGATTGTGATAAGAGTTGCATGAGCCTCTAATAAAACGATTAAAAAATAAATCAACTAAAAAAAAAAATGAAGGGACAAATAGACAATAATAGAGCAACGCCAAGCGAATTCAACACTTCCCTTTGGGGCAAAGATTAATCAACTAGAAAGTAGATCAGTAGCAATACGGAGGAACCACACAAGTACTGAACTTGATCTCTTAGACATATGCAGACACTGCACTCAGCAAAAGCGCATTTTACATTCTTCTCTAGTGCGCTTAGCACCTACTCCAGACAGATCACATCGTAGGCCATAAAGAAGTATCAGTAAATTCAAGACCACTGAGATACTACAAACCATTTTTTCAGATCACAATGCTCTAAAATTAGAAATCAACCATAGGACAGTCAACCCCCAAAGTCAAATACATGGAAATTAAACAACAATATACTTAAAAACCACAAGGTAACTTAAGAAATAAAAAACACAATTAAAAAATTCCTTAACGACAAAATAATAATTGATAAACTATCAAGGGTTCATGAGGGAGCTTCCCTCATGAGGAGCTGATGCCAGGGGCTTACATGGAGAGCAAATGTTTTGAGAATGATGAGGGTAACAAATGTACAAATGTGCTTTATATAATTGATGTATATATGGATTGTGATAAGAGTTGTATAAGCCCCCAATAAAATGATATTTTTAAATTCCTTGAAAAAATAAGAACAAAAATATATCAAAATCTCTGGGATATGACAAAAGCAGTACTCAGAGGGCAGTTTATAGCAATAACTGCACACATCAAAAAGGAAGAAATAAAATAAGCACCTGTGATAGGTTTATTGTGCCAACTAGGCCAATAGGAACATGTAGGTGGATTTAATCAGGTCACAGAGTGATTGGAGGACGACCAAAATAAATAAAGGTGGCGGCATCCCATCCCCCTCTTGCTCCCTGGTGATCTGACCAGCGTGCTACTGCTTTAGCTAGTCCTCTGCCTCAAGTTGTGTGCTACACTACTGTTGGCCAAGCCAACCTGTGGTTCCTGTTGCTAGAGCTTGAGGCTCCTTTGAGACCTGCTTCATCATGCTGGTTTCTGCTTGAAATGGGTGACGTTACAGCAGACCCAGTTGAGACACAGAAAAAAATGTTTCAACAAATTTGAAAATCTAGAAGAAATGGATACGTTTCTAGAAATGAATTATCTAACTACATTACCACAGACTGATGTAGAACATCTCAACAAGCCTATAACATGAGAGATATAGAGCTAGTAAAAACAAACCAACTCCTAACATCAAGAAGTCTGTCACTAGATGGTTTACTGGGAATTCTCCCAAGCATGTAGAGAAGAGTTAACACCAATCCTACAGGAGCGATTTCACAATATGTAAATGGACAATATACTACCAAACTCATCTTATGGAGCAACTATAGCCCTGATACCTAAGCTAGGGAAAACCATCACCAGAATTGAAAATGATAGACCAATATCTTTGATTAATATAGATGCTCAAATTGCCAACAAAATCTAGCTAACAGAATTCAACAAAGCATTAAAAAAAAAATACATCGTGACCTGTGGGATTCATACCAGATATACAAAGATTGATTTAAGATTAGAAAAACAACCAATGCAACCCACCATTTAAACAAAATAAAGAACAATATGATTATATCAATCAGTGTAGAAAAGGCATTTGATAGAATTCAACATCCAATCTTGCAAAGAGCACTCAAAAAGGAATAGAAAGGAAATTCCTCAATATAATAAAGGCTATATATGTGAATAGCAATGGCTGGCTTCTCATTTAGTGGAGAGAAGTTGAAAACTTCCCTTTGAAAGGGAACCAGACAGTGTTACCCTTTATCACAACTTTTATTTAATATAGTCCTGGAAGACTTAACTAGAGATATTAGACGTCAAAGAATATTAAAAGCATCCACATTGGCACAGAAGAAACAAAACTCTTTATTTGCAGAATATATATATATATATATATATATATATATATATATCACCTCAAAGATTCAATTAAAAATTGCTGGAATTAATTGAACATTTTGGCAGTGTGGCAGGCTATAAGATGAACATAGAGAAAGCAAGTGGATTCTTGTATATTAAAGAAGATGATACCGAAAGGAAATAATAAGAACAATACCATTTACAATAACTACCTGAAAGATAAAATATCTAGGAATACATATTACCAGAGAAACAAAAGACTTATACAAAGAAAATGATCGAACATGTCTTCTATAAGAAACCAAAGAGGAGCAATGCCCCATGCTCTTGTATAAGAAGACTAAATTTAGTGAAGATATCAATGCGACCAAGAAACTTCATAATTTCAATGCAATTCAATCCAAATCCCAGCATAATTCTTTAAAAAAAAACCAAAAACCTAGCTACCAACTTTATGTAGAAAGGAAAGAAACCCAGGATAAACAAAATACTATTAAAAAACAAAATAGGAGACATTTCTCTCCCGACTTTAAAACCTATTATCTAGCCACAGTAATTAAAACAGCTTGGTACTGGTACATGATAGACATGACGACCAATGGATTAGAAATACCTTCAGACACCTGGTCATGGATAAAAGACTAAAATACATTAAGTGGGGAAAAGAGCTTTTTCTTGCTGGGAAAATTGGGTCTCCACCTAGAAAGGATAGAAACGACTCATACTTCACGCCACGTACAAAGATGAATTCAAGATAGATTAATGACCTAAGTATAAACCATAAAACCATAAAGACCATCAATGAGAAAATAGAGACAAACTTAAAGGCCTTATTACAAGGGATAGACACATGACTGAACACAATGACAAATACTCCAAGAAGAAAAATAAAGAAAGGACTGGGCCTTCCAAAGGATGATATTTGTGCACATCAAAAGACTTCATGAAAACGTTAAAAGAGAACCCATAAATTGGGAAAAATACTTACCAATGATATACCAGAGCTAATTTTTAAAAAATCTATAGAAAACTACAACACTTTAATAATAAAAATTAAAATAACCCAACTTTTAAATTGGGCACAAGACATGAGTAGACAATTTGCTAAAGATGACATCCAGGCAACTAACAAGCATATGAAGAAATGAGAAATCATTAGCAATATGAGAAATACAAATTAAAACAACAATGAGATGCCACCTCACACTGATCCTCTTAGCAAAACTTTAAAAAAAAAACCCAGAAACTAATAAATGGCGGAGAAGATGTGAAGAGATTAGAGCATGCATACATCATTGGTGAGATTGTAGAATTGTACATCCACTGTGGTAATCAGTATGGCCCTTCCTTAAAAAAAATGTAAATAGTATGATCCTTTGCATATCTCCTAAAGGAAAAAAGACCACAATAGGAACAGACATATGCCCACCTATGTTTATTGCAGGAATTTCTATAGTACCAAAAAGATGGAAACAATAAAAAATTCAGACTATCGAGGAATGGATAAACAAACTCTAGTACAGTCACGCGAGGGATTATGATGCAATATTATGTCCATTCTAAAGAAAGGTACACAACGAGGATTTGGAAATTATCAAACAACGTGATAACCATAGGAAACATTTTAACTTTGACCTCTCATCATGAGTTTGGTTGTCAGTTTACTAACGAGCTGATTCTGGTCAGCATGAGATGCTGGTAGTGCTAGGGCTGCCAACTGGCTTACATAGCTCTGTTTAAAGACGACTGATGATGGCAGCATGGCTCCAAACATGCCATTGATGTACGGGTTGTTCTAAGAGCTGTAAGAGCCCCCCATAAAATGATCTTAAAAACAAATAAGTAAATAACAAAACCAGTTTTAACACAACCAAGTCTGTTAAACATTTTAATATATGGACAAAATGGGAGAACATTTTGCTTAGCAAAGTTAGTCACTCTCATAAATATAAAGATTTTATGACACCATTATTATAAAGGAGAATAAAGAAAGGGAAAGGGTAAGAGTTTAAAGGGACCAGGGTGGGGGCAGGGAGAGGAACAAGCAGGAAACTGGAAGGAAGAAGGATGGGAAAAAAAAAAACAACGAACAACCACACCTATGGGGGTATTCATGGGATTCTGTTACTGATTTGATGAGCTAGACTGTGTAGCCACATAGAACGTTTTCCTTTGAAATTATTATATTCCACAAACCAAAAGGAAATATTTAAGATAAAAACAATAAATAAATAATTAAGTTACCCCCACCCCCGCCCCCCGGTGAGGGAGAAGGGTCACAACCTTAAAAAAGCTCCTGAGACGTCAGACAGTGTATAAGACATGACAATATGATAATAATTTATACATTATCAAGGGTTCATGAGGTGGGGAGGGAGGGGGAAATGAGGAGCTGATACCAAGGGCTCAAGTAGAAAGCACATGTTTTGAGAACGATGATGGCAACAAATGTACAAATGTGCTTGACACAATGGATGAATGGATGGATTGTGATAAGAGTTGTATGAGCCCCCAATAAAATGATTTAATAAAAAAAAAAGCTCTGATTCCTACTCCATCAGATCTAGACATTGATGTGAGTGGCTATAAAAGGAGGACAGGTGAAACTGAAGTGGACTTGGATCCTTTAACGAGCTTATTTTTAAATAAATAAATAAATAAATAAAGCGAGAAGACCTACAGAATCACTGAAATAGTTGATCAGAAAGTCAGGACCCTGATGCTTGAAGACTCGGCTGAGTGTCACCTGTTACCTGAAATCTTCACATATTACTCCTCCTCTCCCAGGAGTTCATTATCAAGGTCACCTTCACCAATGCATGCATGCGCTGAGAAACTTGGAGTGGGGCAATGAGAGAGAAAAAATAGAAGTACTACATTGTGGCTGCGTAGGAGGAATACTGTCGGATGGGGACCCTGGTTTACGGGCATTACACGAAGATGGTAGGGAATTCCACACGGATTCCAGAGTGTCTCCATCTTCAGAGAAAAAGTAATTTTTATGTACATGATGGGACTTGTGGAGTAAAGTATCTAGAAAAGATCTCGATAATCCATTAAATTGTTGATATAAAATGTTTTATTTAAGGACACCAGATGATCATTATGTGAAACAAACAAAAAAACACCTGGAAAGTGAAATGAAAGATTGCGTTTCTAAGAATAATGATCTTGGTGTTATGCTACCTGGCCTCTTGAGTAAGTGCTGGAAAGGGGAGCAGACATCTCAATGGAACAGAAAAAGGCCCCACAAACCACAGGGCTTGAGCTAACAAGGCTTTTACATACCTGTGAACACGAGCTTGAACTCAGCACTGTACTTGACTGTTGAGCAGTTGTTAACCTGGACTTTGCATTTGTAGGGACCCAAATCGTGGTCTTCAGAGACGCTGAGGTTAAAACTCTTGGATCTACCTTTTGCAATTTCAGATTTCAGGTGACGCTCACCCAGATACAAAGAGTAGTTTTGGGGTGTCTCATACTTTTCCATGATGGAGCAAGTCAGAGACACCCGTTGACCCTTTTTCACCATGCATGGTTTCACGACCAATTTGGGTAGCGGACATTCTGGAAAACAGACAGCAAAGCATGAAGTCCTTGTTAAGACCCTGATAATAACGCAGTGGTCTTCCAGCCACATTATTGTGTGTCGAGGCGGAAGGGCCACCCCATTCTTGGAACCCTTCCCTATTTGAAGCTCTGATCAGTATGTGAGTCAGGCTCACGGCCTGCAGAGGCTCCTTAAGTGGGTGATGAGTGGGCGGATGAACAACTTCGTGTTTCCCCGTCTTGCCACTGAGAGCCTGCGTGAAGTGGGCACTCTTCACACTGGCTGTGCTGGCTTCCTCGAGGAGATGGGCTGACCGCGGGGCTGCAACAATAGGCTCTGGCCTGGGGACAATTGTGAGGATGGCACAGGACTGGGCAGTGTGTCCCTCTGTTCTGCAGAGGGTTCCCTCTGAGTCAGCTCCTGCCGGCGGGAAGGGGCCTGGCTACAAACTGATCTGTGATCCACAACGAGGCTTGCACATGCACGGATACGTAGGTCAACAACCAGACACGGCCCATCTATGGCCTTGACACAGCAAGACCAAAAGGAGAGTGCATTACTTTCTTTACACACAGATAAAAACATGCATATTGTCCAAATCACAAAAAGAGTCAAGCACAACCACACACTTGCTATTAGGAGGGACTGGATTAAAAAAAAATTGTAGCTTTAGCTATGTACAAAGACCTAGAATTAGAAAACTAAAAAGGAAAAATAATGCTCAGCAAATCTTAAACTAAAAAGGAAAAATATGCTCAGCAAACAGAAAGAACTCAAGAAAAAATTCAAACCTTGAGCTGTGATATCGAACGATTCTATGGGCAAAAGATTGACTGATGCAGGAAGCATCAAAAGACGATGGAAAGAACACAGACTCACTGTACCAAGAAGAACTAGGACATCCCACCATTGCAGGAGGCAATGATTAAGAACCAATGCCACTGATGGAAGAAGTTCAAGCTGTACCGAACCAAAATCAAACTGACTGCCATCAAGCCCACTCTGACTCACGGTGACTCTGTGGGACAGAGCAGACCTGCCCCTGTAGGTTTCTGAGATGGCAACTCTGAATGGGAGTACAAAGCATTAGCTGCACTGAAAGCATTAGCCACAAACAAGGCTCCAGGAATTGAAGGACTACCAATTGAAATGTTTCAACAAGCTGATGAAGACCTGGACGTGTCAAGAAATTTGAAAGACGGCTACATGGCCAACTGACTGAGCGAGTTCTGTATGTGTGGCCATTCCACAGAAAGGTGACCCAACAGAAGGCTCAAATGATAGAACAGTACCACTGATATCACATGCAAGTAAAATTTTCCTGAAGATCATCCAACAAAGGTTGCAGCAGTACATTGACCGGGAGCTGCCAGAGGTTCAGGCCGGATTCAGAAGAGGACTTGGGACATGAGTTATCATTGCTGATGTCAGAAAGATCTTGGATATTGAAAAAGGAAACCAAAGAAGACTTGAATTGTGGTGCTGGGGAAGAATACCGAAAGTACCCGGACTGCTAAAAGGACTGACCTATCTGTCTTAGGAGAAGCATGGCCAGAGTGCTCCTTAGAGGCAAGAATGGCAAGACTTTGTCTTATCTAGTTTGGATGTGTTTTCAGGAGAGAGCAGTCCCCGGAGAAGGGCATCCTGTTTAACGGTCAGGTAGCGGGGCAGTGAAGCAGAGGAAGGCCCTCAGGAGATGGAGGGACACTGTGGCTGCGACAATGGGCTCAGGCGCAGGAACAATTGTGAGGACGGCGCAGTGTTTCCTTCTGTTGTGCGTAAGGTCGCTATGGATCAGGACCGACTTGAGGACCCCTACCAACGACCACATGGACGGCCGGTTAACAGGGCTGTTACTTAACAGGATGCACCAACCGCTAATGCCAAATTGAAAAAACTGAATATTTTTACCAAGTTCTGCAATCTGAAATTGATCCAGCCTGTAATCGAGAAGCATTGGTGATTACTGGTGACTGGAATGGAAAAGTTATGAACAAAGATAATGCAGTAATTGGGAAATATGATGGAAAAGACACCTGATATTACATAATAGGCTTTTCCAACACCAACAAGCTGTGAATTAGGAGTGCCTTTTCACAACGGAAGATGACGCTACACGTGGCCCTCCCCTGATGAACTACGTAGGAATCAGGTAGACTTATCTTGTGGGAAACGATGTTGAAGAAGCTCAGTATCATTTGCCATCACAGGCCCAGGTGCCAATGCGGAGCAGATGAGTCATTGCTCGTATCCAACTTTACATTACAGTCAAAGAACATGAAAACAGTGCATGAGAGCCAAAGTGCAGCCTTGAGTATATTCCACCTAAATCTAGAGACCATCTCCGAACACATTTGACGCACATTAAATACTAATGACCGACGACCAGCGGGGTTGTGGAATGACGTTATGGACTTCACACACGAAGAGAGCAAAGCCAAACAACAAACTCAGGGCCACACGCGTCCATTCCGCCTCCCAGCAACACGACAGGAAAGGGTAAAATTGCCCTCATAGGTTTCCGAGCATGTAACATTTTACAAGAGGAGACAGCTTCCTCTTTCTCCCAAAGAAAGCAAAAGAGATTATTAAAATAACAGTAAAGAAAGAAAAGACCAAAATGGGTCTATGAAGAAACTCTGGACATTACTCTTGAATGCAAAGTAGCAAACGGAAGAAATGTTGGGGCAAAAGCTAACAGGGCTGCCCGAGAAGACAGAATAAACTATTGTAGTGAAATACACAAAGACATGAGGTTAGAAACCCCAAAGGAAGACCATGCTCGACACCTCACAAGCTGAAGGAATGCAAGAAAAAAAAACCACGTTTCAATTGACAATATTGAAGGATTCCATTGGGAAAAGACTGGGCAGCTAAGAAGGAATCAAAAGAAGGTGGAAGGCATATGCAGTCGGCATACCAAAAATAATTGTGTGATGTGCGACCACGGCAGGAGATAACATAAGATCCAAGACCAATTGTGTTGATGGATGAAATCCCAGCTTACACTATGGGCACTGGTAAAACAAGATTTCCGAAAATGATAGACTACCAGCTGAAGTGTTTCAACAAACATATGAAACACTGGAAGCATTCACTCACCTGGGCCAAAAAAATCAGTAAAGCCTGGCCAACTGACTGGAAGAGAGCCTTATTCATGCTCATATCAAAGAAAGGTGACCTCACACAATGCAGACATTACCAAATAGCATCATTTACCCCAGGCACATAAACTCTGGCTTCCACAATGGACCCCTACCTGGCAACCCTTGTGCGAATGGCACAACAGTAGGCAGTGTTTTGCTCTCTGCACGTGGGAGTCAGCTCGATGGCACCTAGCAACTACAACACCTACGACTCTTATGTTAGCCCAACTTCAAGACAAGACCCAGCTTTCTCCTTCTGACCAAATAGCCACCCCCAAAATTCCTCCGTGTGGAAATGCTGATTGAAAAGATACGCCACTAATAAAACCATGAGGCAAATGTGAATTAAAACAACATTGAAAAGTCACTTTCATTCATTAGATTGGCACAAATTTAAAAGATGATTGGCCACTGGGTGTGGAGAAACTCACCCTCACTCCCTCTGTTGGTGACCATGTATTTGGCTATGCTTAACCTCTTGGTAAAACCAGATAGCCCAAACCACTAAAGGCGTGCGGCAGAGCAACCGTGGGAGCAGAGCAGGGAGCCCCTGAGGGAGTACAAAGGACAGACTCTGGGGCCAGAGCGGGCACCCCATTGGACCTCACTGGAGGACACCCCTAGAGTTCAAAAATCAGACCTTGATCTATTTACAGGCTTTTCTTTCTTTAAAAAATTTTTTTCTTTTAATTAATTTATTCCTTTATGGGTCATTGGTTTTCTTTTTTGTTGTCATCGCTGTGTTCTCATTCATCACCTGTCTTGCTATGGCTTAATTTCTGGTGCATATTATTATCTCTACAGATCTATCTAAATAAGATAGGCTGGATGAACAGTCTGGAGGATAAAACAACGGGACCTATGGTTCGGGGGGGACATGGGAGAGGGGGAGGTGGGAGTAGGAAGGTGGTGTTGACCAACCCAGGGACAGGAGAGCAACAAGTGATTCAAAATTAGTGGCAAGGAGGGTGTGAGAGGCCTGGTAGGGATTCAGCAAGGCCAATGTAACCGAGAGAAATTACTGAAACCCAAATGAAGGCTGAGCATGATAATGGGACAAGAGGAAAGTAAAAGGAAATAGAGGAAAGAACTAGGTGACAAAGGGTATTTATAGAGGTCTAAATACTGGCATGTACATGTGTAAATATATTTATATAGGAGAGTGGGGAAATAGATCTACATGCATATACTTATAGGTTTAGTATTAAGGCAGCAAATGGACATAAGGCCTCCACTCTAGTACTTACTCAATGCAAGAACATGTTGCTCTATTAATTTGGCATTCCATGATGCACACCTTCCCGACACAATTGCTGAAGACAAACGTGTGCATAAGCAAATGTGGTGAAGAAAGCTGATGGTGCCTGGCTATCAAGCGATATAGCGTCTGGGGTCTTAAAGGCTTGAAGATAAACAAGCGGCCATCTAGCTCAGAAGCAACAAAGCCCACATGGAAGAAGCACACCAGCCTGTATGACCACGAGCTGTCAAAGGGATCAGGTATCAAGCATCAAAGAACAAAAAATCATATCATTGTAAATGTGGGTGAGTACAGAGTGGAGACTCAAAGCCCATTGGTAGGCAACTGGACACCCCCTTACTGAAGGGTTGTGGGGAGGAGATGAGCCAATTAGGATGCAGGGTAGCAACAATGAAACATATAATTTTCCTCTAGTTCTTAAATGCTTCCTCCCCCCACTATTATGATCCCAATTCTACCTTACAAATCCAGGTAGACCAGAGGATGTACACTGGTACAGATAGCAACTGGAAACAGAGAATCCAGGACAGATGGCCCCTTCAGGACCAGTGGTGAGAGTGGTGATGCCTGGAGGGTGGAGGGAATGTGGGATGAAAAGGGGGAACTGATCACAAGAATCTACATGTAGCCTCCTCCCTGGGGGATGGACAGCAGAGAAGAGGGCAGTGGGAGACGTCAGACAGAGTAACATATGACAAAATAATAATAATTTATGAATTATGAAGGGTTCATGAGGGAGAGGGGAGTGGGGAGGGAGGGGGGAAATGAGGATCCCATATTAAGGGCTCAAGTAGAAAGCAAATGTTTTGAGAATGATGATGGCAACAAATGTACATATGTGCTTGACACAATGGAAGCATGCATGGGTTGTGATAAGAATTGTACGAGCCCCCAATAAAATGATTAAAAAAAAACAAAACAAAACTAGGTAGCCATGTCTATAACAATTTAAATGCTCATTCCTTTTGACTTGGCAATTTTACTTCTAGGATTTTATGACTGACATAATGTTATATGTGCATAATGATATATAACATATAACCACAATGCCTGTTTATAAGGGTAGTTAATGTATGTTACTTTAAAAGGCAAATCAAGAAAGGAATGGTTAAATGAATTAATGAAATACAATGTAGTTGTTGAACGAATAAGCTAAATCTACATGTCCTTCCTAGAAAGATACCTGTGATACATCATCAAGCTAAAAAACAAAGCAAAACAAAAAGTCACACAAGAGAGTGTGTTCTAGGACACTGCACGGCTGTCCATAGTGGTTGCCTCTGGAAGTGGGAGCGGAGAGAGGTGGGGGTGGGGGTAACAGGTCTTCCACATTTTTCCAGAGTAGCAATGTCAAACTTGGTTATCACTGCCAGATGGCTCGCCACCCCTTGGCCATTGTGCTGAGGAACACTTGTGCCTTCTCACTCTCGACTCCTACGCGCTCTCCCAGATAGGTGCTTGAACGATGCCCACGTCACAGGTGAAGTTACGTAACCGTAAAGTGGTCGCCCCTGATGCCCCCAGTGACATAAGATAGATGTAGAACCAGGATGAGGACCAGGGCAGTCTAGCTCTATAATGATAAACTACCTCCCAGTATGCATCTTTAATGTTACTTGAGTTATTTTACAATGGTTGTATGTTGGTGTTCTGATTTAAAAAACAGCGAAGGAGACATTTCATTGTAAAAACACTATCAATCTTTTGACTCTGAATCTTGGGGGAAATGCTCCTCCTCCGCTCCCTGAGAGATTCCATTTCAAACCGTAGGTGACTGAAACCAACAACAACAAACCTCGTTGGCTGTCTCTCTACAAGCAGAGACATTCATGGAAGGTCATGTTTGAAGCTGACTGACCACGTTTCTAGGAGGAAGAAGGGACTGGCACTGACCGTCTGTTATCTTCTTCGGCTCCTTCGGCTTTTTGTCCGGCGCGGTTTCTGGAATGGAAAGAGAGAAGAGGAACACGAGCAGAGTCCGCGTCCACATGGTGCGCTGGTTTGGAGGTTGTCGCTGCAAAATGATGGCCGGTTCTTCTGTGTCACCATGAAGAAGTCCCTCCGGTCAAGCGACGCGGCGTTCTCCCCAGTGAAGTCACTGAGAAGTCAAAGGGGCTGAGCCGCCGGACACGGTGACTCACTTGGAGAACTTCCTTCTCTGAGTGACTGAGGAAGTCGAGGGGCCTGTCTGAGCTTTGCACAATATCCCGGGTTGGTTCCTTTGAGGTTCTAGTAAAGAGAGACAGATGCACTAGATTGTGCTTTCTTTCTTTCTTTTTTAAATTGTACTAAAGTAGAATAACAAAATATTTTACTAAAACATACGATTTACGGAAGTTTCCGGACAAGCCAGACAAACCGGCCAGAAGCGTTTGGGCGAAGAAGGGTCTACATGTGCAGCAGAGTCACGATGGTAGTCCGAGGGTTAATGCCCCCGTTTTGGTTCCGACAATCAAGCTTGCCCACCTACAGCGTCTCCGGAAAGTTACACTGGTGAGGGTATATTCCAAAGAACAACTGGTTCGCTGCTTTTAACCAATGCAATTAGGTCCCCATAAAGGGGGGCAGACATGGAAAAATAGTAACAATGTATAAATGATCAAGGGTTTATGAGGGAGGAGGGGTGGAGAGGGAGGGAAAAAATGAGGAGCCGATACCAAGGGCTCAAGTAAAAAGAAAATGTTCTGAAAATGATGATGGCAACAAATGTACAAATGTGCTTGACACAATGAATGGATGGATGGATGGATTGTAACAAGAGCTTTTTAAAACTACCTCTCCCACCTCAAAAAATAAAATAAAGAAAAACACCCACAGCCCTGCAGCTAACCTGAGACTGCCTTAGCTCCCAGTGCTTGATGCCGAGCCGACTGGAATTGGACAGTGAGTGATGTAAAGTGTCACACGGCAAAGACGTCACTTTGAAGAGCCAATTGCCTCATACGCATGGGGACGTTGGACCATAAATTAGGAAGATTGCAGTTGAGTTGATGCGCTTGGGTTATGGTGTTGCAAAGAACATTGAAATAACAAAGGGCTGTCCATGGAACTGGTGGGTTTGAACCATTGACTGTGTGGCTAACAACTCGGTGTACAACCCACTGCACCCTGGGAATTCCTGAGGGGTAAAAGAAAACACTGATTTAATCTCTGCGGGATGCCCCTCAATGCCAGCATTTCTGCAAAAGAGGACTTTGAGGTTGGGCATCAGGGACAGATCTGGGGCGTTTCTATCACTGTCTGCCACACTTGCCAGCAGAGGGCAGGTTGGGTCCTGAGAGCCATTGCACCTGGGAGGACTGGGCCTTTCAACAAAAGTTTGGATCACTTCTGTGCTTGAAACCACTGGCTGGGGTTGGGAGCTGGCAGATGAGACCAGGGGAAGTACAACTCACAGCTGTTACAAATATTGATGGGAGGCTCTAGTCAGGCCCAGGAAAGGGAAGTTATTTGTGTAAAGTTACACAATACATCAGAAATAAAGTCTCAGGTCAAAAAGATACAAACTTATCCGTGTTTTCTTTACCCCTCTGGACCAAAATCATGCAAATGCACAGTGTTGTTGTCCACATAGAATTAATATAATTATATGAAATGATACTTTATATCATTCATTTCATTATATTGACAAGACTAATGGCAGTCACTAGTAATCAAATCAATAAAGGCAACGATGATTCCTTTCTCCTCATGTGTTAAGTGCTTTAAGCTGGTAATGTCATTTTATCTTTACAAAACCTCCATAATGTGTGCAGAGGTGCTATTACAAAGATTGGGCAATCAGCAGAGTCATAGAAATAAATATTTAACTCAATGTGCGAATCGCAAATGCAATACGTTCCCTCTTCATCTCTACATAAACTAAGCTGCATCACAAAACTCTTATCAAGTGATACAGGCGTTCATGCAAATTGTTAGTAGACTAATTCTAATAAGTTGCAAAGTTCGGTGGAGTGGGTAGCGCGGTCTTTGGCGAGCGCTCACTGTGATGATTCGCTATGGGATCTGCCTTAAACTGTGCCAGTGAATCCCTGGAATTGGTGGTTACTGGGTGATGTGTAGTCTTAACAAACAGAGATTCTCTTCATGCCAATGATATTATTCATGGTATGAAATTCTCAGTCCCTCTGATAATGATAACAATTTTGAAAGGTAAGCTATTCTAGCTGCATATTGCTATTTGAAATGGTCAAATTTCAAATATTTTTATTATCTAATAGTTCTCAGACATAAAAATCATTGATTTAGAATGCCATATTGAAGATGGTGTGTTTATCTTTACACAGAGCTTTTCAAACCCCATTTGGTCAAGTGTCAGGATTCTATTAATTGAAATGACTTACAAAACAGTGTTTTCACTTTTGTGTTCCATCAAAACGGCATTTTCATATAATTGATTTGATAATTAACATGTTCTCTTGGAAGAGATTATTCATTTATGTACAAGTGGCAAATCATATTTCTTCATTTTGTATTACTTTTAACTTCTATTTCATCCATCAAATAATCTGAAAGTATTGACATCTGTGTTAGAATGGGACTAAAGATAAAGCTTTGAAAATTTTTCATTTCCCAAATACCTCACCAGTTTTCAGCTATTTGACAAGCTCCTGTGTCACAAGTTCATCAGGGTCCAATAAAAACTCAAACCAAACTTGCAGTCATTGAGTGCGTTCTAACTCCTAGCAGCCTTTAAGACAGGCTGGAACTGCCCCTGTGGGTTTCCAAGACTGCAGGCAGCTCTCTCGAAGCCTCCTCTTTCTCCCACGGAGTGGCTGGTGGTTTCAGCTGCTGACCTCATGATTCGAAGCCAGGGAGTAACTCACTCCCCACCAGAGCTCCTATTATGCCAATAGCCTTCCCGTTTTCATTACTGATTCACCAGTCTTGAGATGTGTGATAATTGGAGTTTAAGAACGAAAAGAATGTTTTGAAACTGATTGTGGTAGCAATTATACAATACCGCTTGATGTGATTGAACGATGGAACAAGACATCTGTATTAGTTCCCAATAAAATGGTAAAAACAAACAAACATGGAAAAAAAACAAAGCGCCATATTATTGAGGAACAAACAAACGGGTGTATCCATACACAATGGAATATTATGCACCAACGAAAAGGAGTGGCAACGCTCTAAAACACAACAAAATACGGACAAAATTAGAGAACAAAATGCTTAACAATGCTTAACAAATTTAGTCAAAAGATAAGTATTTAATAACACCATTATTATAAGAAAAAAAATGTGGCTTATATACCAAAGACGAAGCCTTTCCTTCTTAAGCGCCTTGACATCAGTTCCCTTTTACCCACCTCCCCTCTGCATGGAAATTTCTGCAATCAACATAATGTTCATGTTGTACTCTTTATTTCTTTGGGTATAAAAGCAGTAGAGTTATTGCTGGATCATACGGGTTACAAAATTATCATTTGTATTTATTTTTATTAAAAGATCATTTTCTTGGGGGCTCTCCCAACTGTTATAACAATCCATACATCAATTGTATCAAGCCTATCTGTGCATATGTTGTCACATTCTTTTCTAGACAGTTACTTTCTATTGAGTCCTTGGTATCAGCTCCTCTTTTTTCCCTCCCTCCCCTTGACAAAGTATAAATTATGATTATTTTCATGTCTTGCACCAACTGCTGTCTCCCTTCCCCCATGGTTTCTGTTGTTCCTCCCCCGGAGGCTGTGTGTGGCTGTGTGTTGATCACTGAGATCGGTTCCCCCTCGTTTGTATTTGTTTAAGGAAGTACCATACAGATATCCATCGCGGTTGTGCAACCCTACAGGCCCCGCAGCAATGTAAAAATGTTCCATTCTCTCCACATCCTTTCCGGCATTTTACTAAACTCTATTGTATTGAATTTTGTTCCAAGTGTCGCTGTGAGGTGCTAGCTTGTTGTTTTAATTTGTATTTCTCTTATTGCTAAGGATTATGAACATTTCTTCATATGGTTGTTGGCTTCCTGAATGTTTTCTTTGATAAATTTTCTATTTCTGTCTCGTACCCATTTTTTGATTGAGCTATTTGTATTTGTCTTGTTAACTTATTGTGGATTTCTATACGTTTGAGAGATTAACCACTTTTTATCTGATGTTTTATTACTGATTATTTCTTCCCAATCTGTGGGTTCCCTGATGACTCTTTTGATGAAGTCTTTTGATATGCATAAATGTCATATTTTTAGTAGGTCCCAGTTTCTTATTTCTTCTACATTTGTCTGCAGATATTTTTCGTTCGGTTGGTAGTGCGCTTATGCCTTGTTAGGGACTTTTACGTTTGTCCCTATTTTTTCATTGTTGGTCTTTATAATTGGTGGTGTATATTTAGGTCTCTGACCCACCTTGACTTCATTTTTGTGTATGGTGTGAGGTATGGGCACTGCTTCATTCCTTTGCCGTGAAGATCTGGTTTTTCCAGCACCGTTTGTTAAAAAGGCTCTCTCTTCCCCATTCATGTGTTTTAGTCCTTGATCAAAGATTAGGTGTGCGTAGCTCCTGGGTTGTATTTCTGGGATCTCAATTCTAATCAATTGGTCTTCATGTCTATCACTGTACCTGGGCCAGGCTGTCTTGGTTACTGTGGCTTTATAATAGGTTTTAAAATCTGGAGTGAAAGCCTTCCTACTCTGTTTTCGTTTTTCAACAGTACTTCATTCTTTCCTTCCTTGTCCATGTAAAGTTAGGGATTTATTTTTCCATTTCTTTGAAGAATCGTGGGATTCGGATCAGAATGGCCAAGAATTTGTGAGGTGTTTTTGGTAACACTGACATTTTCACAATGTTTGGTCCGCTTGTCCAGGAGTATCATAGCTCATTCCCTGTGTGTATCCTTTGGTTTCTTTCCCTTTTTTTAATTTAACTTTTTATTGTGTGTTTTGGTTTCTTGTAGGAGTGTTTTGTAGTTTTCCTTGTAGAAGTCTTGTTTCCCTGGTAAGATTTATTCCTAAATATTTTGTCTTTTTCGTCATTATTTTAAACGGCATTGTTCTTTTAC